TCCGCCTCCATCGGAAATGCAGCCGCCGCAGCCGGGATTCGAACCTGCGACCTGCGGGTCAGTAGCCGAGTACCTTAGCCACTAGACCACCGCGGCGGGGCTTGGCTTCACAATACTAAATGCTCAAAACCGGTGAAATAAGTTGAAGCCTTCATCACCGCTGATAAGCCTCAACATTTGTTTGACGTCACACCTCGGCGTGATAGCCCTGCTACATGTCCGCTCTGAGCTAAAAATCCCCTGGTGAGTTGGCTTCACAGCACTACATGCTCAAAACCGCCGAAACAAGTCGAAGCCCTTATCACCACTGATAAGCCACAACTTTTCTTTGACGTCACACCTTGTAGTGATGCGCCATCTATACGCACTTTCCGAGTTGAATATTCCCCTGGTACGATAGCTTCGCCGCACGAATGGCCAGAAACAGTCGAAAACGTTTAGCCCCTTATCACCCCCGATAAGGCTCAACTTTTATCTGACGTCACACCTTGCAGCGATGGCCCTGCTACACGTCCTGTCCGATATTAAAAGGTCCCCTTGTGAGTAGGCTTCACAGCACTACATGCTCAAAACCATCGAAAAAAGTTGAAGCCCTTATCACCCCGATAAGGCTCAACTTTTTTTTCTGACGTCCCACTTCGCAGTGATAGCCCTTCTACGTGTCCGTTCCAATCTAAAATGTCCCTTGTCGAGTGGGCTTCAAAGCACTACATGCTCAGAACCGTCGAAAAAAGTTGAAGCCCTTATCAGCCCTGACTGAGGCTAAACTTTTGTCTGACATCACGCCTCAGCTGTGAATGCGCCATCTATGCGCACTTTCCGAGTTAAATATTCACATTGTACGTTGGCTTCACAGCACGAAGGGCCAAAAACAGTAAAAAAGAAATTAGCTCCTTATCACCCCCGATAAGGCTCAACCTTGCTGCAATGCGCCATCTATGCGCTCGTAGCGAGTTAATAGTTCGCATGGTACATCGGCTTCACCACGAATGGTCAAAAAGAGTCGAAAAAGTTGAGGCCCTTATCAGCCCCTTAAGGCTCAACTGTTGTCGGACGTCACAGTCGCAGCGATGGCCCTGCTACGTGTCCGTTCAGATCTAAAAGGTCCCCTGGTGAGTTGGCTTGACAGCACCACATGCTCAAAACCAGCGAAAGAAGTTGAAGCCCTTATCACCCCCGATAAGGCTCAACTTTTTTCTGACGACACACCTTTGACCGAAGGAAGTGTACGCGGCCTTTTTGAGTTTCCGGAAGCTTTATTCAAGGTCATACATGATTATCAGATTCTAAATATCTAAATGACGATTATCAGCCAGATTTATTAAAGTAATGTGCAAAGAAAGTCGAAAACCATACTTGATGTGACGTCCCAGTACGTAAGTGTTCTTTACATAACAGGAAACTTAGCAAGTTCGAATCCGGCTGTAGGCCTCATTTCCAGCGCTGAATTCGTTAGAGCCTTTAAATATTTATTTTCTGAAGTGTCACGCATTGATAAAATTGCTGTTATGATGTCATCGTCATTCCCACCACAACGTTAGAAATATGGTTGAGCGTCTGCTTGAAATGTAGGAGGTACCGGGTTCGATTCCCAGAGCCGACCTGAGGCCACCGGATTTAAAGGCAGAGGTTTCGAGTAGCCGGACTCGGCTTAGTTAATTATGTGACACTATATGCAGCTCACCTGGCACCTCGGTTAAAGTATCGGGCGGACTTCCTGGTGGTGCTGCGTCAGTATTCTGCTGAAATCGCCAGGGGTGGCGCTCCACCTCGTGGTAACTTGGAGGTATGGGACCATCGGGCGCCATGGTCCCTTGTCGCTCTTATGTTTTTCCCGTTTTTTTTTTTTGTTGGAAGAAACGGTTTGTTGCTACATCGCCATGTGCCTTTGTCTTTTTTAAACATTCCTGACACTGTAACCAGTGACCTCTCAGTGATCACATCGCCATGTGCCTTTGTCTTTTTTAAACATTCCTGACACTGTAACCAGTGACGTCTCAGTGATAATTTGAACACCCTAACGACTCGGCTATTGCCACGCAGTTACTAGCATGGTTTAAAAGTTCACCTGTACATTACGCGGCCTGTTCTTCAATGTATAATGCTGCATTTCTGTGTCCGAGACTTGTTGCATTCAAAGTTTTCTGGCCTCCTTGAAGAAAGAGGCAAATTTGTACGTGTCGGAAATCTTCAGCCTTTTTTATCATTTAGCAATTACTTAGAATGTTGAAAATTTTATTTTATCTCCAGTTTGGCGTCGAAATGGTAAGGTATTTGAAAAACTTCAGTCTTTCATTTTAACATTTCTTTTAGATCTTACAAGATCGATACTTTTCAACGAAAAATGTATGCTTATAGACCACTTTTTTTTTTACTCGGAGACCAATATCTTTTCTTTTGCTATCTTCTATCGTAACATTGCTCATTTTTTTCTCCTTTGTATTTAGTTTTTTTTGTTCAGAAGTCTTCGCATGCTGGAAATGAAATAAGTCGCGAGTTCGTTCATCACCCCCTGTCGCATCCCAAAGTGAAGTCGTTATATAATAACTAGCCCCCACTGCAGGCTTATTACCCTTCAATGTTTTTAATGAGTCCGCTGAGTAATGTGGAAGCTTGTCACGTCAAACCAGTTAGAACGCCCGCACTATGCCATCACTCCCACGTGATCAATCGCCACTTCCCATCTCCAAAATGGCCGTTGTGTGTTTATTTATAACGTTCCAAAATAGTGTGCATTGTCCAATGAAATAAACTTATAACAGCGTTGTTTTTAGTTTTGCCACTGGCGCAATTACATCGGTGAATTCCACAGTTACAGAAGCAGTGATGAAAACGAACACGGACCCCTTTAACTGCGCTGGAGGCCGACGCTCATTGGTCATTTTTCGTGGTTGTGGGACATTGAAGGTAGACTCTCGTGCACTATATTATTACTCACATACAAGTTATCTCCCTTTAGGAGTGAAATAAAAACAATAGACCACTTCTTTTTATTTTATCGTCGATATTATTATTAAAGAAAATGCTACCTTGTCGAGCCGATGAAAAAGCTAGGTTCAGAAATAGGCTTTGCAGTAGTTTTATCCTTTGGAGAGATTACATTAGGTTATAGCCACAGGGAGGTTTGCTCTGCTGTGCTTGCTTACATATTGGAAACCAAAAGATTACCTAGTTAGTGTATTCTCATTCATATTTCCGGCACAAAGCCTACTTGATTGCTCGACCATTTCCTCGTGCAGCACTTTTTCATTATTTACAATTTCATTTCGCATAAACTTAACTTCCATTAGGTGGTTTTATATGCATATCGCACTGACTTAGAGAGCCTGCCGCCCGCTTCTTGACCAATGCCGCTTTGAGGGCGAGTGCCGGAAAATGAGAGGATCGTCATCATCATCAACAACTGCCAATTAGTTTAGCAATGATCAGCTCTTGCTGCTAACCATTCACTACAAGTACTAAACGCCACTCAACTGCTAGTCATCAACCTATTGTATACCAGCTGCAAGCAATTCCCAGCACAACAAATCAAGGGTCTCGATCAATTGCAAGTAGGACTGGTTGTTTAGCACATGGACACGTTTGAGAAAGTGCAAGGATGACGCGTACGTAGAGGAAATAGGGACATTCACAGCAGCGTTGACTTGCAACTCAATGTTTAATAAACAATGCAATGATGTAGGCCCGTGTGCTCAGATTTGGGTCCACTGGAATTTCGAACCTCACGTGGTCGAAATTCCGGAGCCCTCCACTACAGGGCCACTCATAATAATATGGTGGTTTTGGGACGTTGAACCCACTTATCAATCAATCATCAAAAGATGAAATGATGGCTTGCTGTTTCTTTTGCTGTTTTGTTTTGCTTTAATAAGGTGACACGGGTGCAAGCAGTATAGATGTCTTTTTATGTTTCTGTCATTTTCCTGTCATATCTGAAACGATTCGGCTTAGGTCATAAGTCGGTGAGTGCGAACCTAAGTGAGTCCGAATGAGAAAGAACTTAGCGAGTCTGAATTCGAATGAGTGCGGTCGAAGAAAATTTTCGCAACTCCAAGTACAAATGAGCCCCGAAAGGAAATTGTATCTCTAGAGGCAGTCTTGAGTGAACTCCGATTGTTCTGTCGACCTACGGTTACTTGCGATCATCTTGTACTTTTTGATTCGTGACACTAATGAACGTAGTCAATAAGTACCTCTATAGCGCGTCAGCTCTTTAGTTGCTGCAGTAGATGCTGCGATGCTGAAAACCACCAAGACACATTGCATAGATGAAAATATTTGTGACCTAAAGGCTAACTGCTTAACGTTGCAGCACTGGCAAGGCTGCCTCCACTGAGTCAGCTTGGCTGAATCAGTTTTTATAGAAGGCCTTGGTGCACAGGTCAGTAGTTCATCAAGTCAGAAAATCGAAAGCAATACCTACTCACTTACTCCGTCCCTTCAAGTGCCTGAACACATGTGTGCCCGTGTTTCAGTAGTGTTTGTCGTGTCTGTTCAGGTGCAAGTACAGGTCGCACTTCCTATAAAGTTTTGAACTACTCAGTGCATTCTTGTAAGTACAGCAGTGTGCAAAGATGTAGGCTGAAGAAGACCAATAAAGTGCTGGTGCCTGTACTCTGTCTTTCCACGCTGTTCCAAATACAAGCACACTTTCAGCAATTTTAAAGGGTTTGTTGACAGCTTGTTGGTGCCACACCTCTTAATATAAAATAATAAACGCTGCATCTGAGAATGCATGTATCCTGCCAAAGAAGCATGCATATTGATATAAATCTTGTGCACACACACGTTTGCACCACATATTCATGTCAGTCCCTTCTGCATCCTGTGTTCTAGACACAATGCCGATTGCATTTATTATGACACATGTCTAAGCCAGATGCGGAGCTTTTGTAATACCGCAGTATCGTGCAATCGCAAGCCTATCTTTAAAATGTGGTTTCGCAGTCTTGAAATAACAGGGGCACTGGACAAGAAGCGAGTCACACTGAAACAGCCACTGTATGCAAAAGAACAAAACATTTATATACATGTGTTTTCAACAGTATTGAAACATGATTCATCAACACAAACAGATGCAACAAGAATGTGAACATTGCACAAGGACTAACACAGAGCATGACAATCACCATTCCCTGCAGCTGGTCGGGAAATTCAGTGCCCCCGATTCGCTAGGCATGAATACGTCTAATTTCATGTGGTGTAGCTAAGAGCTTTTATTTAGCTTTACAACTCCTAGATGCTGGTGTCGCAACATACCCACAAGGAATGAAGCCACTACAAGAAAATATCAGTGGCACCTTTTCTCTTTTAGTGACAGCGATAAGTCACACACCGCTGTTGCTTTTGCAATTAAATTGGGTCTAGAAGTGCGCTGTTGCTGTGAATAAGTCATCAAGAAGACAATACATGGTTCGGACAAATTAGCAGTAATCAACACTTGAGCTGGCCAGGAGCTCTGTTCAGCAGCTATGCCATTTTCTAGCACACGAACAAGACCACACAGAAATGCTTGTAAAGCACTCACAAGGGTTAGGCTCAGGACACTGTAAAATCACAACAGCAGTATTATGTGTACGTTCGAATGCTCCTTTTAGTAACGGGAACTAATTTCGTGTTTAAGCACCAATTTGCAAAGGATACAAGATAAGGCCTACATAAAGAGACTCACCATTTGCAACGATAAAACTTCAAAAAATTATTTCTATAATTGGTTTCCTGATGTGTCAACAAGACTCCTGTTTTGTTAGCATCTGACCAAATGCGTATCTGTGCTGCCCAGTACATGTTCCTTCCACTTGCATTGAAGGTAGGTGCACTCATTGCATCTACCTTGCATCACAAGACAGATTTCTCTCCTCGCAGTTTTACCAACCTCTGAAGTAACCATGCATCATGCTGTACAGTCAAACAGTGCAACATTCTAGACCCATTTTATACACATTAAGGAAGTTCCACCTGGACCAGCTGTAATTATGTCATTTTCCAGTGCTGTTATGTACTGTTATATTCATGACCTCACAATTTATTACATCCTTCAATCTTCGTATTTCCGAGCGAAGGGCACAAGGCCAGAAGCATGCAGGTGTTTCACTTGTAAACACCAAACATAAGGGAAAGTGCCAGAAGCAGGGTGCCTGGCTTCAGGGTTCTAGAGAGTTTAATGTAGATAGTGGGCAAAAAACACAAGTATCGTAGCCTAGGAAACAGACATGGTAATACGAGACACACTTTGACTATGGCTGCCACATTCGCTTTCCTCAACGGGCTCTTCACATTTTCGAGCTGTAGGCATCTGGACTAATTCTGTTGAAGTGTGGATCAATGTGTTGGGATACTCAATGTGTTAGTATTAAGACTAAGGCACCTCTATAGTGTTCTTAGCTGCTTTTATATGTTTACACTGCAAACTGAATGTTCATGCTTCATTTGCTATGCACTGCGTGTTGCAATTCGCTTTGTCCTCGACGAATATTTTCAGTATACAGCATTATCGTCCACTAATGCTGCTGGAAGTTAGAAAAATGTTAAAGTTCTGATCACAGATCACACTGTTTGCCTAGCCACGAAACCTGCCTTGCCAAGGATGTTTCAATACTTAAATCTCACTTTGCGACCCTCTGAACCATTTTGAGGCAACACTTTCCAGAGCAGTGAGCATGCAGAGGTTTATCACACGAGCCCAATTGCAATTAAGCCTATCTGCTGTGGCAGCCTGTTCCGCACCAAAAAGGGAAACGACAGTGACACCTACCAGTAACACTGAATGACAACAATCAAAATAAATTAGGGGAAAACAAGATGGCGCCCTGCACCATTGAGGATCCGTACATACTTTGAAATAAATTAGGAGTGACAACTCAATACCACATTTCCTAATACATCCACCATTGTGCCACTGAACTCTCAATAGTACAGCATTATGTTCAAAGACAAGCTAGCTCTCATAAACACATGGCTACATCATAAAGCCACCATACGAGAAGCCGCCTTCGATAACTGCACAACTCACTGGTGAAGTGCTTGGCTTGAACTCAAGCCTACTGAAATGCACGTGCCTTCTCACAGAAGGCAGCACCGTCAAGTCTCTAGTGTCCGGAGATACACTAGCGGCATAGTCATCTACCACGGCACCAACACACTTTGCAGACATCACTACCACCACAACCTTGTCTGACAAACGTCTTTGCAGTTTGAGCACATGTGGTGCTACAACGCAGCCTCAAGGCAAACATTAGCTGCCAGCAGTCAATGTCCCATCTCTGTCAAGGTGCCCAGTGGAAACACCATCCTCATTTCTTGGCAGTCAAGAGGTGACAGCCACACGCACGTTTGTGTTCATTTGCTCTACACTGTTACTGCGAAAGTCAATCCATGCTACTACGTTTCTTCAGAGTTCCGTAACCTCACAAAAAGCCTGCCCTTCGTCCAGGGGTTCTGCAGCCTGAGTGGCTGGAAATCCGCGCTCAGGCAGCGCTCGCGCGAACCCACGACGGCGACGAGGCAGAAGTCTGCGAGCCGCTCGTCGCCGTACAGGGGACCCGTCCTTCCCTTGGCAACGACGGCGGTGTTCAGCTGCCTCACGACGAGCTCAACCACTTCCCGGGCCGTCGTCTCGGGCGTGACGTGAAGCTTGATGCTCGTGCCAGGCGGGAGGCCCGACTCGTACGCGGCATACACCCTGAGGACACTGGGTGCCATAGCCGTCGAGGACATCAGGATGTCTTCCGCGCTCTCCTCGTCGTACTCGTCCTCGTCGTTGATGTCGAATGAGACGTTGCCGGTGGGAACACCGCGGCCTTCGTTCGAAGACGTCTCCTCGATGTCGTCCATGTCGTCCTGCGGCCGTTCCAGCACCAAACGGGACGCAGACGCACAGCGTCGTATCTCGACGGGCGCGCCTCCCGGTGCACCCGCGACGCTGACGCCACCGACTGAGAGAAACAGCTTGGCGTCGATAAGATCGTCGACGCGGGAGGCTCGCCGCGCCTGCGCGGACATTGTTGTGGGAGGCATGATGGTCGGCTGTGTCTGACGGCGCCGAGTGGGGCTCGATGATGTGGGAGAGGGTGCCGTCGAGCCGGGCGTCGTCCACACTGCGCTCATGGGGAGGCCCCCGTTCAGCGAGCGGTCGCGAGCAAACGACAGAGCGTCCATGATCCAGCGCATGCCACGCCACGTCTGTTCCAGCTGCGCCTGGAAGTCCTGCAGTTGCGTGAGCCGGCTCCGAGCCGCGGCAACTTCGGGTGCCGAGAATGCCTGCAGAAATTAGAAGAAAAAAAAAAGCGTTAGAATGTGCGCGTAATTTTACAAGACGTGTACTAATGACGCTCAAACGGCAAATTCAGATACGGCAGCACGGGGAGAATTGCGCTACCTGGCTCAAACTACATGTGTATGCATATATAAACGTATGAACCACTTTAAATTCAAGGTTGTAAGGTAGTTTTTGGCTATTATAATGCCCGCCTCCAACGAAGAATGAACGCAGCCAACCGGAAGGAGCATATTTAAACGGCAACAGGGTAGTCGACTTACGAAATAACCACCCGCACATCTATTACATACCTCTCTGTTGGCGTGCTGTGCGAGCACCGTGTCCGTCTCGAGCATGGCGGAAACGCGCGCGTATCGGGCGATGAGGGGTGCCTGGTAGGTGCTCAGGTGCACCACCTCGAACACCTGCACCGGCAGGGCGAGGCAGTCGGCTCGCGAGGTTAGTTCATCCCGCTGGCCGGGCACGGAGCACACGCTCTCCACCGCCGGAAGCACCAGCAGAAAGCTGACACCTTCCGCCAGCTCCACCACTTCGGCGTCGTACAGCCTGCGAGCAAGAAACAATAGAAGGGTTAATGGATTCTGTGCCTAAGGGATCGTAAACATATACTTTGCTGTAATCGCAGCATGAGTACTGCCGTGTTGTGTGCTGGAGGTGTTGCCGGATGTTACCGAGCTAACAGGCGAATAATCATCACAAAAGAAGCCCGAAGAAATGCGCAGCGACTTTCACAAAGAAGGCAAAAAGAAGCGAACTTTTAATGAACTTTCCCATTCTGAAAAATGCCTTAATTGTGAAAAAATGACTCATATATGAAGAACAAATATTTTGCATAGTGAATGTACCTGTAGCTAGGAACAAAAGCACCGCCGCTTTTCAACATCGTCTTCAAGCCTAGTCTCGATTCGGTAGAGTTCACATTTTCAGGTGCGTGATTAACACTTCTTGTTGACTCCACTAACGTAGGTATTACTAGACCCAACACTTAACTACACAAGGTCCTCCGCTAACACGAAAGTAGTGAAGGATAAATGCTTAATGTAAAAAAAAACCTACTATAACTACATTTGCTAGAAATATGCTAATACTCCTCCCCCCCCAAAAAAACGCGACAAGTGGCTGAAAAATTCTACAAGCGACTCGGAGAAAAAAAAAAACGATCACATACATTTATTATAAGTGGAATTGGCAACTGTATATCGAGCACTGTGTGCCGGTTCAAGTGGACAGTCAACAGGATAAACGAATTACAAGTTGAGTGCCCATCATAGTCCCTGATGATCATCAGTAGGACTCTGTCCAATGCAGTAAACGTTTTTAAGTCTCTGGTTTTTGGTGATCAGAGCACAGTAGTGAGAATTCTGGAAGCAGCTCAGTGATGTGCAGATATCCTACTGGAAGAATTGCAAAGTGATTCTGGCATTGATTAAAAATGCAACATGCCCGCAGAAAATCAGTTGAAATCACCATGCTGTAAAAGCGATTCATCGTACCGGCGTCGAAAGGCTAATCAAGCCCACAATTCCATAAAAGATGCGAAAAGAAAATGGTGTATAAGTTCAAGGAAGTGGAACCGGCATAACTTGCATAATGCAAGATGAAGACACAAAGGAAGAGAGAGAGAAAATAAAAAAAAGTCACAGTTTCACCGCAAGCACGAAGCAATGAATGCGATAGCAACAACTTGGAATGTAAAGCTGAGAACGGCAAGGAGATCGAAACGTGCAGCACGCTGCTCACACACAAATTACGCACGGAAACAACACATACAGGACGAGAGCCAACTAAAAACGTTTACAGCTTGACACATAACATGCTGTTTAAACAAAAATGGCGGACGAAACGTTATTACAGGTACAAATATGTGTGCGAAGTAACAAGTGTTCCAGTCGTTACATCACTGTATCTGAAAAGCGCGCTCTTTTGGCAAAAGGGGCCTGTTCAGTGAGCTAAGTGACCTTTGTGCGCACAGCGTTCCGATCAAAGCCGAAGGTGCATGACCCCCCCCCCCCCCCCCACACACACACAGGATAAGTGCGCGAATAGGGCCCCTTTCCTCTACGGAGCAAAGCACGGGTGGGAGATCAACGCGCATGGGCGGATCGCGACGAGCTGGGCGCCGACCTTTGCCCAGAGCCCGCTTATCGCGCCATCTCGCTGGTAATGCTGAGAACACGTTATTTTCCCCCGTGATAGATATACCGTATTTGCTCGCATAATCGGCGCACTCGCATAATAGGCGCACCCCTATTTTGGTCGCGGAAAATTCGATTTTTTTCAATTCCGCGCATAATAGGTGCACCCCGAACTTGGCCATGATCAGAAACGATTCTACCCCCCAGCGGTACAGTTGGAACGCGGTCCCCGTACCCTGAAGAAAAAAAGAAGGCAAATCAACGAGCAAATAAAAAAAATTTGAAGTGCAACGACCTAACCAACGTGTTTGTCGAAATAAAACTTGAAAAAAAAAAAGCGTCCATGAGCGAAAAAAAAAAACCGGCTGTTCCATCAATTACTGATACCCCCCAAATCGCCGCGCTTTTTGGAGGTCACGTGTACAACGCCGGGGGCTCGATCGCCATCACCACCATCAGAGAAAAAGAAAGAAACGCCATTTTGCAAGCGGTGTGCGTATGTTGTGGTCGTGTATTGAACTTTGGTTCCACCATGGGGAAGTACGCGAGCTACACGGCTGGGTTTAAACTGAAGGCAGTGCAGTACGCGCTGGAGCACGGCAACCGGGCTGCAAGCAGGCATTTCGGCGTTGGAGAAACCAGTATTCGGTACTGGAGGGTCGAAGAAGAAAAACTTAAGGCGACGAAGAAGACACGACGGGCTTTCCGCGGTGCCAAGACGGGCAGGTATCCGAACGTCGAAGAGCGACTGGTCCGGCATATACGGGAGCTACGACAAGACGGCTGTGCTGTGTCGTTGGATATTGTGCAGACTGAGGCGCGCACAATAGCCCGAGCGCAGGGCATCGAAGCAAAAGAGTTCAAAGCCAGCTCCGGATGGACAACTCGTTTCATGCGGCGCCATGACCTCGCACTGCGAAGGCGGACCACCTTGTGCCAGCGCTTGCCCGCAGCATATGAGGACAAAGTGGTGGACTTCCACAGTTTTGTTATAAAGCTCCGAGAGCAGAAAGACTTCATTTTGTCCCAGATCGGCAACGCTGATCAGACCCCCCTTTGCTTTGATATGCCGTGGAACACGACAGTGGAAGAGAAAGGTGCACGGAGCGTTATCGTCAGAACGTCTGGCGCTGATAAACAACGATGCACCGTAATGCTGGCGGTGATAGCGGATGGGCGTAAGCTACCGCCTTGCATTATTTTTAAACGTAAGACGCTCCCAAAGGCAAAATTCTCTCAAGGCATCTACGTCAGAGTCCAGGAAAAAGGCTGGATGAGCGCGGAACTCATGGTGGATTGGGTGAAAACAGTCTGGGGTCGGTGGCCGGGTGGTCTGTTGTTGCCGTCCATGCTTGTCCTGGACAGTTTTTGTGGGCACCTAGTAGACCGCGTACGAGATGAGCTAAAGGAGCTGCGCACAGATCTGGCAGAGATTCTGGGCAGCCTCACATCGATACTGCAGCCTTTGGACGTGTCCTTGAATAAACATTTCAAGGACAATGTTCAAAGGCTGTACACCACCTGGATGGCTGGAGGACAACATCAGCTGACTACAGGTGGTAAGATTAAGAGGCCGCCTGTGGAAATGCTGTGCGCTTGGATCGTGGAAGTGTGGCAGGCGGTCTCCGACGAAGTCGTCAGGAAAAGCTTCAAGAAGACGGGTATCTCGAACGCACTGGGTGCGAGTGAGGATGACATGTTGTGGGGTGCGGATGATTCGGACACCGAAAACGAATCCGCGCTCGGCGAGGATGAATGTGTGATCTCCGACTCGGACTCCGAATAGGGAAAAGGAGGAACAGCTACGACTTTTGTGTAAATAAATTTTACGTGTGTGTGTGCAGTTGACAGCTCTCGCTTGTTCATTAAAAGGTACGTAGGTATGTTTGTTTTATGCTGAATTAATTGGTAAACGATAAAGTCGCCTTTTACTTGACAAGTGTGCAGATTTAAAGCGCGAGAACCGAGTTGAAAAAATTTTCGAAAATTTTACCCCTCGTAATTGGCGCACCCCTCCCTAACTTCGAGCCGGATTTTCTGAAAAAAAAGTGCGCCTAATATGCGAGTAAATACAGTAAATAGCTTGCCATTTCAAGTTGAATGAACTGCTCGTTCGTGGCTCAGTGGCTAACAGCCCATGCTCACGAACAATTCTTTCTGACAAGTTCTTTCTTTCTTTCTGACAAGTTCTTTCTGACAAGTTCAAATTACAATTCTTTCTGATGAGTTCAATTACAATTTTTTCTGACAAGTTCAAATTACAATTGTCCGATGAAGCGATTAATCGTGCGCACAGATTAGGAGCGTTCGTCAAAAATAAGTGCCGGCCAATCATCGTTCAATTTGCGTCTTTTAAAACAAAAGAATCAATTTTTTCACAAAAGTCCAAGCTACGCGGTACAAACATTTCAGTTGCTCAGGACTTCTGTAAGGCAATGCGCACCGTACGTAAAAAGTTGCTGGATTTCGCGAAGGCCACCAGTCAGCCATTTTCCCTGAAGTTCAACAAAGTTGTAATCGACAAAAAGAGCTATGTGTATTGCAGCATTACCGATCGTGTTGTTGAAATTGGACTAAAGGATGGGCGCTTTCAAAACTGCCGAAGTAATCATAATAGTCTGGGCCAAGCCGGATCGTGTTCCCCAAACAAGAGTGAAGGTCAGTCTTCAACGTAGCTAGATGTGCGCACACAAGCTGATGCTATTGAGCGGGAAATTTCCTTTCTCCTTTGTAATGTAAGGAGCGTAATGAACAAGCGTGACGAATTATTATTCCTTGTTCATGCGTGCCTGGCAGATGTAATCATACTGACGGAAACTTGGTTGTCAGCGAAAATTGATAGCAGGGAAGTTTTGCATGATGCAAAAAACTACGTTCTTTATCGGTACGACCGGGGTAGCCGCTCTGGCGGAGGTAACTTAATTGCTGTATCAAATGAATTTGTGTCTTTCAAAGTTAATGTCGCTTCTGAACTAGAATTAGTTTGTGTGTGCATTCGCCTGCACCACAAAGACTACATTCTTTGTGCCTGCTATCGGCCTCCAAATTCTTCTTCAGGCTTTTCCGAAATATTTCATGATGTTTTAAATAAGATACATATTAGATTTCCTGCTGCAGTGTTCTTTGTTCTGGGAGACTTCAATCTGCCCGATATTTCTTGGTGTTTACCCCAACCAAGTTCTAGCTCCAGCTCGTCTGAAAGCGCATCTTTCGTCAGTGTGTGCTCAGAATTCAATCTAATACAACTTGTCAAATACCCGACCCGTGTTACTACTACCAGCTCAACTATTCTAGACTTAGTCCTCACAACTCACCCAGATCTTGTTACATCCCTTTCTGTGATACCTGGTCTCAGTGACCATTCAGCAATCCACTTTACTATTCCCAACAGGAATCCCAGACGACAGAAAACCTCCAAAACATTCAGAGACTACAAACGTGCAGACTATGCTGCAATAAATAGGGAGCTTGAAATATTCACCGAAGAACTGTTTCAAAATTTTGATCAGCGTTCTGTAGACGAAAACTGGCATCGGTTCAAATCCAAGGTGTCTGAGTTAATAGACCGCTTTGTACCACTGCGTAGAATAACGAATACTGTTCAATCCCCGTGGTTCACACCGACAATAAAGCGACTACGCAATAAAAAGCAGCGCTTTTTTCGGAAAGCCAAATGCTCGAGGTCAACTGACCGATGGGCTGCGTACAAGGAATCAGCCGATGAATCTGCGCACGCGCTTGCCGTGGCTAAGCGTTCTTTCTTTGAAGTTACCCTCCCCTCTATGCTTAGAACGAATCCCCGTAGATTTTGGCTAACCATCAACGAAAAAAGTGAAAAGAAAATTGAACTGATGTCTGAAGATGACTGTATGATCCCAAGCGAAATGTGCTGCGAAGTCTTAAATACGGTATTTTCGTCGGTATTTGTAACCTGTACGCCATACTGTTCGTCCCCTTTTCCTGCCTGCAATTATTTACCCATGGATCCATTAATCATAGACTGGGTGGGTGTTGCCAAATTGATAAGGAATCTGAAACCTTCCTCCCCCGGAGATGATGGTATTAACCCCAAATTCTTAAAAAATACTGAAATGTTATCCGCTATAATTCTATCTAAGATTTTTTCACAGTCTCTGGAAACTTCTGCAATACCACAGGATTGGAAGGTCGGGAAGGTGGTTCCTTTGTTCAAAACAGGTAACACTCACAATCCCATCAATTACAGACCCATATCGCTCATCAGTGCACCATGTAAAATTGTTGAGCACATTATCTACAGCCATTTAGTCCGCTTTCTCGAAAACAATTCCTTTTTTAGCAAATTCCAACATGGTTTCAGAAAAAATTACTCCTGTGAAACTCAGTTACTTAGCCTCACTAACGACCTATTTTGCGCCGCTGACCGTTCTTCAGTTATGGACTGCGTATTTATCGACTTCGCGAAGGCATTCGATACCGTTGTCATAAACTACTGCTTTCTAAATTAAACTCAATCAATCTAGACGTAAATATTCTCAAATGGTTGGAGTGTTTTTTAAGTAACCGCACACAATACGAGTTGCTAATGGCTTTATTCCACGCACTGCTCTGTTACGTCCTGGTGGCCACAAGGTTCTGTCTTAGGTTCCCTATTATTCTTAATTTATATTAATGACTTGCCGAATACTCTATCATCAACTATTAGACTCTTCGCGGACGACTGCGTAATTTACATAACTACATTTGCTAGAAGAATGCTAATACCCCTCCCCCCCCACCAAAAAAAAAAAACCGCGACAAGTGGCTGAAACATTCTACAAACGACTCGAAGAAAAAAAACGATCACATACATTTATTATAAGTGGAATTGGCAACTGTATATTGGGCACTGTGTGCCGGTTCAAGTGGACAGTCAACAAGATAAACGAATCGCAAGTTGAGTGCCCATCATAGTCCCTGATGATCATTAGTAGGACACTGTCCAATGCAGTAAACGTTTTTAAGTCTCTGGTTTTTGGTGATCAGAGCACAGTAGTGAGAATTCTGGAAGCAGCTCAGTGATGCACAGATATCCTACTGGAAGAATTGCAAAGTGATTCTGGCGTTGATTAGAAATGCAACATGCCCGCAGAAAATCAGGTGAAATCACTATGCTGTGAAAGCGATGCATCGTACCGGTGTCGAAAGGCGCACAATTCCATGAAAGGTGCGAAAAGAAAATGGTGTATAAGTTCAAGGAAGTGGAACCGGCATAACTTGCATAATGCAAGATGAAGACACAAAGGAAGAGAGAGAGACAATAAAAGAAAGTCACAGTTTCCCCGCAAGCACGAAGCAATGAATGCGATAGCAACAACTTGGAATGTGAAGCTGAGAACGGCAAGGAGATGGTAAAGTGCAGCACGCTGCTCACACACAAATTACGCACGGAAACAACACATAAAGGACGAGAGCCAACAAAAAACGTTTACAGCTTGACACATAACACGCTGTTTATACAAAAACGACGGACGAAACGCTATTACAAGTACAAATATGTGTGCGAAGTAACAAGTGCGCCAGTCGTTACATCACTGTATTTGAAAAGCGCGCTCTTTTGGCAAAAGGGGCCTGTTCAGTGAGCTAAGTGACCTCTGTGCGCACGGCGTCCCGATCAAAGCCTAAGGTGCGTGACCCCCCCCCCCCCCCCCCTACACACAGGATAAGTGCGCGGATAGGGCCCCTTTCCTCTACGGAGCAAAGCACGGGTGGGAGATCAACGCCCATGGGCGGATCGCGACGAGCTGGGCGCCGACCTCTGCCCAGAGCGCGCTTATTGCGCCATCTCGCTGGTAATGCTGAGAACACGTTATTTTCCCCCGTAATAGATATAAATAGCTTGCCGTTTCAAAGTTGAATGAACTGTTTGTTTATGGCTCAGTGGCTAACAGCCCATACTCACGAACGAAAAGAGGGACATTTGACTCCGCGCGCCGGAGTCTTTTTCTGGATTATTTTTCTTATTCGCATTTTCATATATATACCGTATTTACACGATTGTAAGACGACCCTTTTTTTCAAATTTGACAATCCAATGTTGGGGGGTCGTCTTAGAATCGAAATCGAACCATGTACCTTAGAATCGAAATCGAACCATGTATTGTCATCTCGAATAGTTTCCCGCTCAACCCAAAGCGCATAGTTTTCCGCGTGCTTATACAAAAGCTTTTCTTTTTTTAGCATCTACTGCGCGCATTACGAGTGCCTTTATGACGAGCGCACGGCTCTTGAGGGAGCACCGGTAATCGATGGAAGAGCCGCCGTAGGGGGGTACTGGTAGTTGACGGAAAAGCTCCTCTTTGTGATACAATTTTCTAAGCGGGCGCGTCGCCGCGTGCTCCTGTCGCTTGTGTCCACGACCGGCTCTCTCGCGTCACTTCTGTCTGACATGAGTGCCGTAGGCTCGAAGAACACTCGGCGCTCTTTTACGGCAGCGTTTAAGCGGGCTGCTATTCTTCATGCGGAGGAAACCAACAACTGTGCAGCAGGACGGAAGTTCGGAATCGGTGAATGTGTGGTGCGGAAGTGGCGGCTTCAGCGCGAGGAAATTTTCTCGTGCGACTCCAAGCGCCGTGGCTTTCGCGGGCCGAAGTCTGGCCGCTTTTCGGAACTAGAGGCGAAGCTTGCGGCCTACTCACACTTGACGACGACGTGCTGTGGGACTGCAGCAGCAATGACGGCAGCAGCACCAGCGAGGACGACTCCAGCGACGATGAATAGTCCTCCGCAACCACGTGAATAAATTTCCCTTTTGTAAAATGCACGAGTTCTTTTTTTTTTTTTGAGATGCGATTTTGGGGGGGTCGTCTTACATTCGAGTCGTCTTACAATCGTGTAAATACGGTAGATAAGTATTCATATACGGTGAGTGACGCGGAAGCCGGCGTCAAAATCCAGTCGATAGTGTATACATAATTGCTATCACAATAAAACGCAGCGTCTTTAACCAATATCCAGCCCGATCGGGCGCTTGAGCGACATCTTGAAACTATTACAGCTGATGGCAAAGTTTATGCTGGTTTCGCCAGTGCAACTGGTATTAACGCCGTGCCCGCGACAACTGTGGATTAGAGCGAAGATACAGTACGCTTCATACCTATGCGCATCGTAGAGCTCAGGCGGCACCTCTAGCTGGGCGAAGAGGCTCTTGGCGGCCGCCGAGACGGCCCGCTGGAAGCGCAGCTGCGACTCGTCGGACTGTGGCCTGCGCTCGGAAGACGCCTCGATGTCGGGTGTCCCCAAGGAACCGTCGTCGAGCCGCAGCTCATCGCCGGAAGGCGGCGACTGGCCCAGGTTGCCAAGGCTCTTGAGCCACTGCCACTCCTCGCTGTGAAGGGGACGATGTGCGCGATATTAGCAACATGCTTACTGCAACAGGGCGTCAGCTTTCGATGTGACCTCTATCATACATGCATACAGGCGGTTGTACTGAAGAGGAAGGTAGGGTGATAATGTAAAGAGCATTTAACCCTTGCACTCCCACTAACACAGGGAAAAATATACAAGAGAAGGACCCAATATCAGGCCTTCATAATTACGTATGGTTACCTATCACTGCTGTAATCCTGACAAAGGTAAAATAATTTATTCGTTCATTATAAATGTGGCTAACCCGACATGCGTTCGCTCGTTTAATGTTTGATTTGCAAAGATTATACATATTCTACAAGGAGCGTGCTTAGTGAAATAACTAAAGACAGCTAACGTGGTCAGCTTACAACAACAACAACATGCGCAGCAGCAGCAGCAACAACAACAACAACAACAATAATAATAATTATTATAATAATAACTGATAAAATATATAATATATATTATATAATAATAATAAAATAATAATGGTTAAGATAACATCCCAAAACCAGGATATGAATACGAGAGAAGCCATAGTTGAGAGCTCCAGAAATTTCTACTACTGAGGTTCTTTAACCAGTTTGCGTGAACCTATAACGCTTCTCCAAGCTTACTTCATAAGTTACAGCTACACATAATGCTGGCAAGCATGTATATCACAAAAAACCTTGGGTGTATTAAGGGACAGTTTTTGCAATAGACAAGACCAGCCATTTTTTGTTCGAAGATGCCAGTAAGCTTGTCCTGCTATAACGAAGGCCGCGATGTGCGAGAGTCTGTGGTTCCCTACCGTGAGACGTGCGGGTTGTCCCTGATGCGGCAGTGCGGCAAGACGTTTGGGTTTCGGTACGGCACCAGGACACTGATGAGGTCCATGGAGCTCTTGAGCTTCAGATATCCAAGGTAGAGGCCCCTCGGCAGGGGCTTGCTGCTCGTCTGGTTGTACGTAATCATCTCCTGCAATTCAGAGGAAGCATGCTCCGTGTCAGCAGTTACTCAATGAGAGCACATTGTTTAGCCACACAATAATCTCCCTTGAATCTCTTACACTTGCCCTGCTAGAATGATTCTGAAATAAGTTATTTTTACATAGGTAAGTTCTGGCTCCAAAGCATCAATCCTGGATAAAGCGAGAGAACAATAACAAAAATCTGCAAGCAAAATCGTCCTTTCTATCAGACAGAACTTCCCAAGTACGAGAAGCGAGAGTAAACGACTGATATCTAGAAACGAGAATTGTTCTGCTAGGTGTTTCACGCTAGAGCCTATATATTCTCAATATGAAGGCTGTCAAGACAACCGTATAAATCGCATTGTGTCTTTTTAATGCGATAGCAAATATATGGACAGTCTATCGGCTGGCTTTTGCCATCGCCGCCGCCGTCATTCACATATATGTATATGTATATACACGGGGAAGGATGCGCTAGCCTTTTCGGAGCGAACATCGCCTTTCCCACTGGGGTCATCCGCCCACCCTTATGTCTTGAGCTGTCTTGAGCTGTCTTGAGCGAGCAGGGGGGTGGAGGGGGAGCTATCACGGCAGCAATCAGCCCGGGGCTGTTGCCCCCACAGCAGGCAGGAACTTCTAGGAGCTGCGCTATGAACAAAAAAAAAAAAACGGTGCCAAAAGTCTACCTGGAGCAGCCGCCCACTTATAGATATGCTATATATACACAAACTTCTACCATCGGGGAAACACGATGTATTGCCCTTAGTACCAGCATGCGCTGCCCACGGGAGGCGCTTCTCATCAACGCCGTCACTACGCACGAGCCTTGTGGTCACCTATTGCGGCCGCACCACAAGGAACTTGGTCACTTAGCAATTATACTTTTACTACAATTACTATTGCTCCTAAAAATGCTAGCCTTGCTTCATAGAACACTCGAATATGTTGGTATCGCATTCGTGCTTCGCCCTTTTTAGCAGCGAAACTGTGACTTTTTTTAGGCATGTAGTCAGAATGATTTCATGCTGCAACATACACAGCATAAAAACCTGCGAGTTCATGTCTGTGGCGTTAGTGGCCTCCGCCACGACATTAGAAAGTTTCACAGATACAGAAATCAACGTTGGCCGTGTACCTGAATGGAGGAGACGAGCAGCTCGGAGGCTGACGGCAGCTCTCCGCCGTCGCTGACGCTGGGCATGCGTCGCTGGATCTTGGCCAGGGGTATCCACCGGACCGACAGAGCACTCACCGTCTTCGGCTCGCTCACGTACTTGACCACGCACACGACCGCCGTGCCCTCGTAGTCTCGCAGTGGCTTGTAATAGACCTGGCCCAGGTCTTGCACGCCCAGCGCAGACTGCACGCGAAGAAACGCACAGGCTATGGGGTGAGTTACAACGAGTCGAAAAGAGGCGTAGTTTTTTGCTTTGCATATAGTTAGTGGCAGCTGAGTTTCCTATAAATTCCCTAGACAAAACTCTGGCGTTAGAGTCAATGGGAGCTGCAACGCATGACATTTCAGCCAGCATATAAATATGTACACAGTCATCTAATGTTCATTCTTTTGGCTTCATTTGGCTCCATGAAGCCTGCAATGGCTTCGTCGTGAGACGAATTTCAGCAAATGTTGAGCAGTTCCATTTAACCACCGTAACCTGTTTAGGTTGAAGAATTCAAATCGGCTTCCGTGGTTGGCAACGATCCAGTTTTTTATCTGAAACAAACACCAAAACACACCAATAAAGAAAGTCACAAGCGCGTTTGAAGCCACAAGTAGAAAGATTTGGTAAATCCGTGTACTAACAACACCAGCCAGACTTCTGGGTGGTGTTGGTATGGGTTGGGGGGGGGGGTAGAAGTCTAGGTGTTGTTGGTACTAACTATTATGTCCATGGTGGCTGAATGACTGCAGCGCCAGAGTTCCCTCTAGTAAATATTGTAAGAGACTGTATGGTCATAATCGTGTCGCTTCGCGAATTCGCACAGACGTGGGAGACCTGTTTCCAAGGCCCACTTTACCTGCATTTGTTCGACGGTCTGCAGCAGCTTGCTGCGAAAATGCACGTTCGAGGAACTGTGACTCTTCTCCATGTCCAGCCGGAGCGTCTTCACGTCGTCCCACGTGCACGCAACCTGAAAAGACATTCGCGGGATCGTCAGAAACGTATGCGATATGCAGCCTTACGTTATTGAAGAAGAATGGCTATTTGGGCTAGTTGGTTTGAATTCATGGTAATAAGGGCTGCAGCACGAGCATGAAGGCGCTAGAACAAACAGACGAAAGGCGAGGCACGGAATGGCTCGCCTTTCGTCTGTTTCTTCTAGCACCTTTGTGCTCGCGCTGCAGCCCTAATTACCGTACGTTATAATTGCCACTAATGCCCCGTGCTGTATTCATACAGAATGGCCTGCACTAGCCATGCATGTCGCTACACTCTAAGCCAAAAATGGCCAAAATGGGAGCAACGGCTGTTTTTACTCCTTCAGACCGACTGTTACTCTCCGAAAAGACCAAGCGGAACAAGATGGCCGACTTGTTCGAGAATGGGGGAGCAACTGTATTCATCTTAAGTTTGTAAGGGAGCAACGGAAGGAGGAACCGCTGTAAATGCTCTCGTCACGCAACGGTTACTCCCCGGCAGAACACCGCACACAAATATGCATGCCGCCCACATTGATATTCATGGGCCAGATTATTGTTTGTTCTGTGTGCCAAACTTCACCAAACCAAAACAGTGATTTATTTTAGCATCCGTAGATAATAAGATAGCAGCGCTGGCTGAACACAGAAGGCCTGAGAATACAGTACGGCAAATACCTAACACACGCAGCAGCAGAATGGAGAGTTGGCACGTCAAAGCGGACCGAACGCCGAAACACGTGCAAAACAACGATAAAAAAAGCCTAGACGCGCCGTTCGTCCGCGAAGGAAGGGCGTCAAAGTCGAGCAAGCACCGAAACACGTGCATAAGAAGCCCCCCCCCCCCCCCCGCCCAAATATATCGGAGAAGAAAAAAAAAAAAAAGCGGACCCAGACGCGCTTCTCATCAGTCATACACTTAGTAGCACGCTTCACCGTGTAGGTTGAGGGCAGAATGACAAATCTGCGCCACCTGCGCCCGCACGACAAGTGTGGCGCTAAAGTAGCAAACGATGTAAGTTACAAAGTAATTTTTATTCAGTGTTTATGTTGACTAGCACTAAATAAAAGTTACACTCAACTTTTTATATTTATTTATGAGTTTTAGTGTACCTCAGTTTGTTTTTATAATTGTATTAGGAGAACACGCTGAAATTATTGCGCTGACGCCTGTGCTGCCACTGCTCGACGTTTTTTTTTTTTTTTCGGCGCAACTAGGTTCGCGTTCGCACTACTTACTCATTTTCATATGGTCTGTGGTTGGCGAGCACATGGACGTGCGAGCTGTGAGCTATGTTTTGATCGTGTGTGTGTGTCGCAGATTTGCGTTTCTACTTATTCGTGATGAAGGTTAGTGTATATTTATCTTTATGGAGCGCGAAGTAGTTGTGGATTTTGCTGCTGGGTGGAACAAACACATCGTAAACACGTCTTCAGCTATCTGCAAGCCTGTTCGCTCGTCGGACAAAGGACTGTGCATGCATCAGCGTGCAGGTGAGTGGCATTTCCAGCAACATTTAATGCTCTTACAATACATTGTTGAGTGGTTGCGCTATTGAAAGAGAAATGATTTGCTCTTATTCACCGTATCCATTGCTAGCCGTATCGGACTAAATTACCTCTATTACCGCCTGCATACCCTCTTGCTTCCCCTGTCACCACTGCAGTGCCAGTGTACTTTTGCAGTTAAAAGTTCATTTCCGCAACACTACCTCGCTTGAAAAAACATTGGGGCGGGGTTGTAGCTGCATTCATACTGGCACTTTTCTACCATTGGCTTTATGTAACGTTAACGGCTGAGTGTTGGGGCCTTGGGCCGCATTTTTTAGAGATGTAAAGTGTATGTAAATCAGTAAGTAAACAAATCATTGTCGCCTCACTTCACTGGCATAGCCAGGCGGTTGCGCACAGAATTTTTTTAGGCCGGGCGTAGGGAGCCCAAATTGACGACCATATTCGCTTGCCGGGCCTATTCAGATAAGCGGACCTCCCCCCCCCCCTCCCCGCACGCCTAAAAAAAAAAAAAAAATCTGCCCACATCACTGCGTCACTTGCTTCACCTGTGCGCTGAACGTACTATTTTATAAGCGCACCATCAAGCGAGCAGTTTACATGTTCTGTTTACATATTGACAGAACAATTGGAGGAGGAATGACCCAAACCTTTCAGATTTCTTTAGTGATGCAAAACCTTAGCAAAACTGAATATTGTAACAGACAATCATAAATGCTGTATGTTCTCGCTAGCGCTGTCATTATTCTGCATCATGAAATCTTTATGCGCTGTGAAAACTTGGCATGCCGTTGAAGTCACATATCGACGTTAATACCAATCGACGAAAATTTCGACAACCTCAATAACGCCGTTTGGGATTTGCCGCATGCACATAATTAGGCTGATTCCCACTTGGCTGTTCTTAACCTGACTTCACTGCTACCAAATAAAACAATATTTGATGCATGTCTTTTACTTTTTTTCAGGGATATGACACAAATTTGGTTATACTGCAGATAAAGATGCTCCCGACGATGCTAATGTACAGAAAGCAAGTGAATTTTGGTAAGTGCAGACTTTTTGTACTACGTATATGAAAGCATCGCTTTTTAGGGGCAAACTGTGCATGTGTTGGCCAGAGAATAGTTCATTATGCCACATGGTTACACTGGCACTGACAATTCGACATGGCTCCGCTGGCCCGTGTGTGTGCTCACACTGTTACCGTTAAGATAAAATGTTTATGTTTTCATTGCAGGGATTGCTGTTTGTACTAAAAAGCCAACTGCCAAGATTTGTTTACGCTGGTACTCCTAAAAGTATGCTTTCCCTATTTACATGGATTTTGGCTTGCACAAAGCATAACACTTGGGCCTAGATTCACAAAGCTGTCCTTGCGCAGGCCTTCATAACAGCGTTTCTTGACTTGCCTTTACCCTGTTTTCTGCAGATGTTTCGTGGGTTTAAAAGTGCCACAGCATGTTGACCTCCCCCACTCTGAAATATTCGCGTTCAAAGTTTCACAAGAGTGGGCTTAACTTTCTTGTGCACCTCTTTGCTAGTCCAAGATACTGAAGTGTTATGCTCTTACTAGAGGTGGCAGTGTTTCTAATGTTTGTATTTCCATCACATTGACCAAGTATGCGATCTTGGCTTGACTGGTAGCACATCCTCAACAAATGTCTTTGTGGCACATGTAGAAGGCAGTACAAAATAAATAGGCAGACATTCACACCGGGAGCTAACTTCTAATAATGCTTTTTTTTTTTTGGAAACCATGGTGTGCTTATTCCAATTTGTCTAACAAGCAGTAACCTGTTTGGCTGTGAACCAACAAGACGTTGAGCTAATAAAAGCTTCACATCTTGTTGCTCTCAAATATATATGTATTGGCAAGCTATCTGTGACACTGTCAAACAAAGAATCAGAATATCTGTGCATGCCTTAAGATATATTGATATATTGCTTCGTTTACATATCTCGTGGCTGTGACTCGTCAACCGAGTGAACAAATGCACCCTAGTTTTCTAAATTTAAAGCATTTTTTGAAGGTAGCACGGTCTACATTTATTGGTCTATAGTTTTGTCCAGCCGTTTGCGTCAGGTACAAAGAAATATACTGAAGATTATCATGTAGCCTCTGCAAATGGTTGCTTTCAAGCAGGCTTTGCATGCTTGGCTTGTGTCTACAGGTATTGCACAATTCAAGACGCAGCAGCGTATGATAGAACAGTAGAATCGAGAGCAACTATGTGCACAGCTAAATAAGTATTTTAACATGAGCGGACAGTACGTGTTATTTGCCACACACATGACCTCATTTAGAATGCCCATTGGTGAATTGGCTCATAGAAATGTCACTCAGCTGTGTATAGGAAACAAGTTAACTGAACCTAAGGGTATCTTTAACTGCTACAAATATGCCTTGTTGAGGTGCTGCACATTTTCTTCCAGAATATAGCTGTCTGAGACATCATGTGAAGAGCGTCTACCACATCAGCATTTATATGGCTTGCCAAGTAACGTTTGGCCGAACCTTCCTTTTTTTCACATTTCGTTTTGCAGTAGACATCCTAGAATGTAAGCGCTGCTGCAGTGTGTGTGACTCATTGTTATGAATTGATTCTGGCATGTTTAACCTCACACTTCTATTTTTTTTCTTGCAGGAATGAGATGCTTCAAATATGCCTGCGGTGACGTTCTGCTGCGCTAGCGTGATGGAAACACCAGCTGCGAAACTTGAGTTCTTCAGAATTGGAGAAGTTGCCCTTCTCTCACCAATGATGACACAGACTGCCCTATGCTAGAAATTCAAGATTGTTTTTCCACGGATGACGCAGAAAACCTTTGATGTATTATGGTGTTTGTTTAGTGCTGGCTGTGGTGTGGCGAAGTCTACTTTTACGTGTGGTCACACGTCGCCTCATAAAAAGAACAATAAAGCATTTATTTTCCTTTCAATATTGTCCACTTTTTGTGTTAGAAGCACCCAAGCAGTGCTCTTCCAAGGAGCTCTCGCCATGTGTTAAGCGTGTGACAAGCATACTCGAGATAAATACTCATTTCCCCAAGGAGTAACTGGAAGCATGTGCAGTTGGTTTTCAGAGAGTAACTGCGAACACGTGGGAGGAACGGTAAAGAGTAACTGTTGCTCTTAGAAGAGCAACTGGTGGGAGTAATGGTTGGTCAGCAGGGAGCAACTGGTGGGAGTAACTGTTGGTCTGAAGGGAGGAACTGGAGGGAGTAACTGTTCATCCCCCGGAGGAGGAACTGAAAGGAGAGCAACGGTTCCTCCCTCTGCAGTTACTCCTTTTAGGAGAGTAATGGGAGTGGCAATGCAATTGCTCCCTGAAAGGAGCAACCCCTATACCCCTGTTGCTCCGTTTTGGCTTAGAGTGTAGGCAAGCACGCGAGTAGCTTCGAAGAGAACTCAGCGCAGCTGTTTAAACACTGCATCCATGATCAAAAAGTCCTAAAAGCCTCACACAAATATCCCAGGTCTATCGTGGTGTAGCACTGGGCTATCTTTTGTGCACCAACCTAATCTCGGATACTGCGAAAATCGCCATCGCCACAACAAAGGTATTTTAGTTGCCAGCATGTGCCGCATAACCAGCGAGGGCATAAACAAAGTCGAAGGAACCTTCCACACGGTCCCGAAAATTCATTAGTGCTACACTCAAACCCCCTTATATATAAACAATGTTGCATCTCAGATAATAATGAGTTCGTTGTACGAAAAATTCGTTATAAAAGCTCATTCCAAGCCCGTTATTGCTCGATCATTTTTATTTACTTCGTTATAAGCGATATTTTCTTATATCCAGGTTCTTCACGTCGAGAATGAAGTGTATTCCAAGGCTATATAACCCGAACAAATGACCGAGCAATAACCAAGAATAACATGGCAGTTCAGTGAGAGATGACTCCAAGTCTGCTTGCCTTCATGAGCCAGTGGAAGTCAGTCTGGAAGGAGGCCGGGTAGCAGTCGTCCACTTCTAAAATGGGCAGCGTCTCTTCGGTGGTGACCAGGATGCGGTCCTCGTTGTAGAACAGGCACGCCAGGTACACGCCCCGCTTCAAGGTGCGCTGGAACTTGGGTGCTGCCGCGAACAACTGACGAATGCTCTTGCGCATCTGCCGCCTCTGCGCGATGACCCAATGACAAGCAAACGCTAAGTTGAAGCCCGTCACATTTCAGTGAAAACTATTCGCGAACCATTCATGCTATGCACAAACTCTGATGCTCCTTGTAAAAGTGAGCATCGCCCCCCTCCCCGCGAAACGGGCTTGCCCATTACAGTCGAGAATTAAAGCTGATGAGCTTTAATTCTCTCATCATGGGTGCATGGGTAATTCTCTCATCATGGATGGGGTGCTCATCAGTGATGCACACTGATGAGCACCCCACTAACAATCTGCTGGAGAATCGCCATTTCTTTGTCTCCCCAGAAAAACGGAATGTTCTCCAAACGTGGGGACAGCCTATCGGGATCCCCTGCTTGTCCCACATAGTAGTCATCCCCACCCCCTTCCCCGCCGTAAATTGAAATGATAGACAACCCCACTTCACAGATATCACGACGCACAACAATTATACCAGTAACTAGTTAGGGTTCAAACGTAGACTCCCTGGAAAACAAAGATGTCTTCGCACCGCGAGTCTCCTATGAGGCATATTTTAGGTGCAGTTATATCTCTTGCAAAGTTGGGTTTTATTCTCACCAGCGCTTGCGTGAAATACTGCAGTGAATGTGCACGTGGCATTATTGCAAGAGAGAAGTAAATGACGACTTAAAGCGCTGCAGTGTCCGCAAATACGCGCCCGGGCCAGCCCGCGATAAAAAGTGAGCGCTGGGATGTAAACAGTGCTGTGCCAAACTCTAGAGTTATTTCGTGCACCATCGGAGCTGCAGGTTCCATTTGATATAGATAGGTTAAGAACCTGAAGCGGATATTGGGGCAGCGGCAAAATGAAGCGAACAAGCGCAACTTCACTTTCTTATCTGCTCTAACAGTGCCTTTATTGGCACAGTTCGCGCGTTCTTGCATTTGTGACGACTTAGCGGGCAATGAATACACGCGTTATGCGCTAACAAAAGGGGCGCTAGAAACTCGCATATACAAGCACAGCCATGCATTTATTTTAAGTGTGGTATGTGAAAGATGGCCGAAGACTTTTTTTTTTTTCTGCCAGGTAATGAAGAAAGTTACAGTTTCACCCGATGGGCGAAACAATGAATCCGATAGCAACACGTTCGAATGTTTTACGAAGCACGGCTAGCATTTTTAGGAGGCTATATTAATTCTAGTAAACATGGCCTTGCTAAGTAACCAAGTTTCCTGCGGCGCGCCCATAGCGACAAATTGCAATGTTATACGATGCGAGGCCGGCGGTCAACTCATTGAGATCCGATCTCGCTTAACTTTACAAAATGCTGGTGTAAGAGAACACCGCCGCTCCAGGTACACTTTTGGCACCGTTTCTTCGTGTTGAGAGCGGCAGCTCCCGCCTGCTGCGGAGGCACAAGCCGCGCGTTGATCATTGCCGCGATAGCGCGACTACCATGAGCTCCTCCCCCCCCCCCCCCCCCCCCTCGTTCGCTTCCGAGATAAGCACGCGCGCAGATGACCCCGGCCGGAAAGGCAATGTTCCCTCCGCAGAATGAGGAGGCTAGGAGTATCCTTCCCCGTATAAAACAATGTACATATACGTTAACGACGGTGGAGGTGACGGCAAAAACCAGCCGAGACTGTCCAGACTTCTGCTACCGGAATTAGTCAACTGTAGCCAACCGGAAGCTAAGTTCGAGCCAAGGAGGATACAGTTTTATGTATCCTCCTTGGTTCGAGCGCACGTACCTGCTGCATGGGCGTGGTGTCGCACAGCTCCCCGGAGCCTCCGAGAGCCGTGGCGGTGCCCATGGCGGCGGACGTGTTCATCTTCTGCATCTCGGAGCCGCCGTGCAATGGCCGCGACTCCATCACTTGGAGGAAGAGCGAGTCGAGCCGGTCGATGCGACCAGTCCACCGCGGTGAGCAGTCCTCCACGTCGCGCCAACCTGATTATAAAAAGAGAGCGTTGAAGCGCTTATGACCAGGTGCCGACTTGTGGCACTTCCCGCGATGGTATGCCCTGTTACTTCGATAAATAAAAGCATGCAGAAAGAGACAGGGCAGCCATCTTTCGTTCGCCCTGTCTATGGCGCACTGGCGTAGCTTGAGGGAGAGCGGGGGGTTCAGCCCTTTCTCTTCATTTCGGGCTACGCCAGAGCATAAAGACAGTGTGCCAAGTGCCACGCCCGACCAAGTGCAGCCATGGCCAGAATTGGCGCGCCCCATTATTTCTAAAATGATTGGTCCTTACTCGACGGCCTGGCGCAGAGGGGCCACGAAGTCTGGTACGCGCTGAAGCCCTTGGCGTTGCCGGCGGCCACGCGCACGTGGTAGGGCGTGCCTTTCTCCAGGTCCCGGATGACGTACTCCAGGAACTGCACGTCGGTCAGCTCCTTGGAGCCGACGCCTTGGGAGAAGTCCTCGCGTTCGCACCACTCCACTGCGAGCAACGAGGATGAATAGTGATAAATGCCCGCTAGTAACTCAGTTTTACTGCACGAATACTCATAGGCGTGTGCACAGAGACTGCAATCGCCCCCCCACCCCCCTCGCTCTTCACCTAAGGGGGGCGCCAAGTCAGTCCCATATCTTTCCTGCTCTTTCCTGTGATGTCGTCTGTCTCGTCATTGTTAATTGTGCGACGTCATCGCTTTCAATGCTATCGAAGATAGTTGCGGCCGAGAATACCTGTTGTTGAACTTCAAGTAGGCCTGATTATCTCCCACATTTATTCCTTCAAGAACCGAGGAAGAAGAAGCAGGTCGTTATAAGCAGGACGTCAGTGCACCACTTTCATGTTTTTCATTTGTTGGTGCTCGCGGCTAGGCCGAGCTAAGAGACTAGAGGCAACACGAGCCCCAAACAACAACCGAACTGTTACTCACTCCAAAGCTCACGAAGAAAAGTCACGTGGTCCATCGCGCATGCGCTCTTGACATTGAGCCCAGAGGCGCCGTTTCACGGTGCTACGCTTTCATGACAAAGCTTAATTTCCCTAAGACACGCCCACTTGATGGGGGGAGAGGGTGAAAACTGGCATCCCTTAATGCAAACGCCTTCGCACGCCTATGCGCTTACAGTGTATCATTTCTGCAACACGTGCCACCGTCTTGCCCCAAGCGAGACGGCGGCTCGAGCACTTACCTCTGTACTTTGTGACGAAGGCCCTCGCTTGCACAGCGGCCAGCGGTGGCTCGGAAAAGCGCACCCGGAGCGACTGGGTGCCCACCACTTCCAGAGTCACTCGGCTTGGCGGGTCCGGCGGTCCTGCAGCGGTTCCGGAAAAGGTGGTTTCATCGACGGGAGGAAAGTCGAAGAAAGCAATGCACGTTCGTACGTCCAAGCGAGGCCCGCTGGCAAGACGAAATGAAACCAACATTTAAAAAACAAAAACAATAACGAGAGCTTACGGAGTTCGTCGAAACCGGCCTTCATTTCCGAGATCAGCTCCAGACGCCTTTTCCATAGACTCAGCTGGCGCTCCTTTTCCTGCGGTACGAAGACAGTGTGAAAAAAGAAAGGGGCAATAATAAAGTGCGACACAACTTCAAACGTATTAGCTGTTCATGCGTAAGCTTAATGTGTACCTTCCCCAATAATCAATTAAATGTAACTGAGGCGAAGGAGAACAAAAGACTCAGGTAAGGGTTCAACGAAGGGGCAAGGAAAGTAAAAAGAAAAGCGTTTACCTTCATGTCCCTTCGGAAGGACCTGAGAACGACGAAGAATTTTCGACTCAGTTTCTATTAATATTAATCGCGGCATTCCTCCTTGTTCAGCATTTATTCCCCAGTTCACACCAGCGAAAGGTTAGGGTCGGGGAGGAGGAGGAACGACAGGGAGGTTAGCCATTTTGGGGGGCGGGGGCACATAACTAAATTGATGCAACGACGACATATGAGCCTAAGTTCTCATTGTCTCGTACATACACGCTCAAGAAAGCAACAAGAAAATGCGCCTAGTTAGTCTTTTTGATAGGTGTCAATAACAGAAAAGCGCCGTCGCTCGCGACCCAAGAGACCACACGGCTCCACGTACAGAATAGCGGAAAAGCTGAGCTAATTGACACGCATTGACAATAAAATACCGGATATGCAAGCACGGACCCATCGGAGAAGTCAAGACGCCGCAAATAGTCCTAAAGTGTCCCTGTTCGAACGCTCCCGCATGTATAGGGTGCGTACCTTGAGCAGAGCGTTGGACAGGCTGCCCTGGTTGGCGGAGGCGGAGGCGACACAGCCCGCCAGGTCGTCGACGCATCGGTGCGCCTCTCGGAGCAGCGCCGAAAGTTGGTTGGCCCTGGCCTCGGACGTCGGGAACCGGGGGCTCTCGCTGGCGCCGCGGGACTGCAGCAGCCGAGCCAGCGACGCCTCGCCCGTCAGCACGGCCACGTCGAGCGCCGTGAAGCCGTCCGTGTTCACGCTGCAAGAGAGCAGAGAGCTTGCTCTAGTGCTTCGCGGAAGGCTGCTGGCGAGCGGTACATAATAAATTAAATTGAATTCAGCTTTATTTCAGTTATATCCTGAGGAGACAGAGGCTAAAAGGCTTTGATCGGCTGACAGTGGCCTCTGCCCCCCCCCGGAGTTCGGAGTAGTAATCATTACGCAACTCGAAGGACAGGCTTTGAGTTTGCTCTGCTTTTACGATTCGAGGCAAAATTAAACGTTAGCGATCGCCTTAAGTGCCTGATTAAGGATTTAATGACAAGCATCTTAATTAAATTCCAGCACACTCGAGTGCTGTTTTGTTTTTGCATTTTGCAAACATCCAAATGCACCTGCCTCAGGCGGTATCGCACTCGCGACCTCAAGCACTGTTACGCGAATGGGCTCCCGCGGCGCTGGTCCATCGATGCAGATAAGACCACACAGATGGTTTATCAGATACGTGAGAGCTGCACGACACGCTGTTATCTGCGCACGGTCAGGCAAGCGTCGATTTACATCCTACATTTGGCAAAGACTAGTAGATACCACATTTCACGCTAAGAAAGACACTGGAAGACGTTCGGGAAGCGCCATAGGGTCCATACAAGGGGCGCTGGGGTCTATACCAAAATATAAATTGTGTTCCTGTGCGTGTGTTTGTACGTGCGCGTGCGTGCATACACGGGAACAGTTTTAAAACTTCAGAGGGTTAGAAGAGGGGTGGTTGAAATCCCCCTCCAACCCCGTGGGGTACGCGGATGCTGGGCGCTGTCACCACATCTTACGTCATAAACGACTATCAATAAAACAGGCTTGAGCACTGTTCTGTTATACCGCTTGACTCGGATGATAGGGAACTCAGTGGCGGAGTAAAACAGGACCGCTTGATAGCGACAGAGAAAGAAACTCACACGTATTTGCGCTTCATGGTACACCGCCTCCAGTAGTTGTCCTACAATACACGCGCTAGCCGGCCGTCCAGCCCGGCACGTGTCGAGCCGCAGCCACACAACAGTCCATCGCAGTACCACCATGAGACCATGGAACAGGAACGTCTACAGTCTACAATCGGAGCGGTCTGCGTGGAACCCTTTCGCAATCGCGACTGGACCGACTCACTCGCCGGACACACCAGCGGAACGACGTACGACACCGCGCTCTGCAAAACGGCAGCTGCTCTTGCAGGCCCGATGTCCTCTACCAGGGGGAGGCCCAGCTCCAGAAGCAGGAAGGAAGAGAGGGCCGCGAACCGGGAAAGCCGTTGGACCGTGACTCCTCACCCCTCGAGTTGTTCACGTCGGCTGCCGACGACGACGTCGACAGCTGACGGCGTGTCGGCCAGCGCGCGAGAGAGGGTGAGCGATTTCGGCGGAACGGTTTCTTTTTCGTGCGCGCCCTGCTGTAAGGCTCTGTGGTATTCTTTTTGCGGAAATGCCACGGAGAAGGGAAAAAGGTCGGCGTGCGCAAGCCACGAGCACACGACGAGGAAGTTTACACTGCCCCCACCGGCGATTGGCACGGGTGTTTTCGTGTACGTTGTGTGTGTGGTCAATGAATATAAACCGAGCGGGAGCGCGGCAGCCGAAATTTATTTATTTATTTATTTATTTATTTATTTATTTACAATACTGCTAGCCCTTGCGGGCTGTAGCAGGGGTGGGAGGTGAACAGGTGAACAATACACAAACAATGTTAGGCAAAAAACAAGTCCAGCCGTCGTTGAAAATCCTGTGAGGATCTACATCCTGTAAGTACCTCGGGAGGAAGCGCATTCCAGTCAACAATAGATCGCACCAGAAACGAAAACTTAAATACATCCACCCGCGGTACATAAGCTTGGACAGAAAATGAGTGATTGGTACGAGCCGACACTCGTCCTGGGGGGCGCAGGTATACACTGGGATCCAGCTTGTAGTTCTCATGATACAGGTCATAAATAAATTTTAAGCGAGCTATTTTTCTACGTGTAGCTAACGATTGAAGGTCAGCCCTAGCAAGCAGAAGTGATACAGACTGTTTTCTCATGTAATTTGAATAAATAAACCTCGGGGCCAATCTTTGTACTCATTCAAGTTTGTTAATTTCAGTTTTAGTATGCGGATCCCAGATGATAACTTAGGATCGAAATGAGCGCACTCGTTGTAGACTTCCTTCAACGTGCATGCTTGGACGTGGACACGCGGACATGCAATGTTCTAGTACTAGAGCGCTTTGTCCTCGTACAGCTGCAGAAGCACTCCAGGCGATCAGCCAGCCTAAAATCTCCGGCTGTTAGGTGTTCAGTATACAAGTGCCCGTTCGCTGGACGATTGCCACAGCACCACGGCAATGCGAGAACGCTCCCGGTACCCGTACAAATTAACACTCGCGTACATAAGGCAGCTTACGCAATTCCTTTTGTCCTCGCAACGCAAAAAGAAGGAACGAAGGAACAAGTAGAAGGACAAGGAGCTTAGCCTAAACCAGCTGGCTACACTGTCCTGGGGGAAAGTGGTGAGAGGCAAACAGGATGAGAGAAAATAGTTGTTGAAAGAAAAAAAGATTGTAACAGACGGAAAATAGAATATGCGACAATATACGGTTTCGCCAAGTCAAAACTTTCAATATCACTTACTAAGCACGTTTCATGAGCCCTTTTCACCATTCAGCTCTATAACAATGCAACCGATGAGCTGGGGATCGCATCGGCGGCGTTATGCTCACGATCACTCCATTCCAGCGGAGGTGCTTTTCGCAATACTCGGACGACTTTCTTTTTCCATAGAGTTAACTTTTTTTTTACCGATAGCACGAAATGTGACTTCAGGGCGGGCGTCGCTCGGCCTAAATGGTATAGTTCAGCACAGACCACGAGCTATGCTTACCCTAGCAACTCGGTGAGAACAGATGTGTCCGCAAAGTGGCATTCTGACGTATCAAAGCGAGCGCTCTCTGGCCAACGTTCCCGCGGCTTGAACACGCTCTCAGATGTTTCCAGGGCGCGAGTAAGTTTGTTTTTCTTGGGTTTGGCGAGAAAGTATCTAAACGGAAGGGGGATTCCTTTTTTTTTTTTTTACGAGATTCAAGGCTTAGAAGAAGAAAGTTGAGGGCTGTGGGTCGGGAAAAGAGCCTGCAGAGGCTCTCTCGCTTCCCAGCTGCCTACGTGAGCCGAAGCACGCGTTCAAAGCCGAACTCTTTCCTCTTTGTGTTTTTTGGGTCCTTTCCCTCTTCCGGAAGTGATCCCAGAGGAAAAGAGTAGCAAGAGCAAGAGAAGATGCCGGAGAGAGTGTCGTCGCAGGTCACGCCGTCACGAACCCGTCACGGAGACGAACACATGCAGAGCGAGGTCGAAAACGTTACTCGCGCAAAGCAGGAGGCTCGCGTAAAACGCGCGAACGCGAGGAGGCGCGTTTGTGAGTGTGCGTGTGCGGGTGAAACAATTGGAAACGGCAGGACGCGCGTTTTTGCTGGTTAAGCTGGCCGGCAAGCTGAATGCCGCCGCGTTTTACTACTATGCGAACGTGTTTGACTTGGAGACAAAACGTCGCCAGTCGACGAGTTCCTTTCTCCGAGATCATTCGACTGTTAAGTAATTTCCGTGTCGGGATTCCCACGGTCCTAAAGTGGGCCATAAGGTGGCCGGAGAAGCCGACGCCGTCGAAGAACGGTTACGTAGTAACTACACGGACTTCGCATCTGCGCTAAATTCGAAGACAGCTACAGGGAAGCAAAAAAAAGAAAAGAACGAACATAGCAAAAGAACGAAACTGCACTTGAGTCTGTCTCGTTTCTTTCCTGCTGCACGTTTATAGTGACGAATTGGTCACGCAAAACTACTTCTAAAGCACGTATATGCATATTTTTTGGTATCAAACTGCCTATTCGCGCGCGTTTATCAAACCTGCTCCGTTGACAGAAAGCTTTCATTCTACCACGTGTTGCCTTTCTTTTTTGGAATTTATAAATTCATTGCTATTACTCATATAGAAAACAGCAACACGTCCAATGCCAATTTTCTTGTGTATATTGATCAATCAATCAATCAATCAATCGATCGATCAATCAATCAATCGATCGATATCAGGGGTCGCGACAGCAAACCTGCTACATTCAGCAGTCGTGAACACTACATGCATGAATCCACTCGACGAATAATATATATGGGATACATTATTAAAATTCGATGGACAGATATTGCTTCAGTTGGCTAGTGGCGATAGATATAAATGCGTGAACTTAACCATCTGGTCTTCCGGCCTCAACCGAACCTATTAACAAACTCGCAATTTTCTATAAATATTTTGGCACTCATTCAGTCGGACACCGTCGTTAATTGTGGCATCAGGCGCACACCGAGTTCTCGCTTGACTCACCTGTTGACGTCGACGTCGCTCGTCTCGAGAATGGAACGGGCCCGCTCGATGTGATGGTGCTCCACGGCGGCGAACAGGGCTGCGTGTTGAACGACAACAGCTCCGCTCATTCCCAAGCTGGATGCTATACTGCACTGCTCTGTATGCCACTCTAGGATGCGGGAACGATGGCTACTTTCGACTACCACACCGATTGCACAGTATATAAGAAGGTCCTCTTACAGAGACATCTTCAAACTGTTACGTACGATCACTGCTAGACGAACCCCTGAAGCTTTATGGTGCGGCTTCACCGGTGATTAAGCGTACACGTCAATACTCTGTTGTACGTAGATATATGGTGCATAGATAAAGCTAGGCTGCCGCGAAGCAGAAGAACAGCCAGCCCCGGAACGGGCGCTGCCTGTGTATCTCGTTACTACAACATATTTGAAGGTGCATTCACATTGATACATTTGCATATGCAAGCCTAGAGCATTTAGTACCGTCATAAATAATTTCACAGACAGTGGTGTAGAATGCCGCTAGCAATCATTGCATGCGCTTCGGTGATTCTATATAATACAGTATAAAAGAGGCGATAAGGACGCCCCCCCCCCCCTTTCCGCCCACTGATCTAAGGCAGCGTTTTCGAACTCACCCTGGAGATCAATGTTGAACTTGTTGAGCTTCTCGAGCTTCTTGCGCTCGGATTTGGACAACGAAAACCCGTCGAGAAGCAGTTCCACACTACTCTGACGCAGGCCTGACGTCACCAATCACCATCACCACCACCGGGGAGACGATGCAGGGTGCAGAGAGTTTTTTTTGTGCAGGGCGCGGTCCGTGGCGGCCGCGGAGAAGGCAAGACCACGTGACGGGGGCAGTTGGTAGAAGACCGTGCAGGGTGGAGAGGAGGTGAAAACAGAAGGGAGAGAGGGGGAGAGAACAGAGGGCACAGAGTGAGGTGGTGTTTTGTTGTGCAACCCACGGGGGGTGGGAGCGAAACCACAAAGACGGTGGTGGTGTGTATACAGAAGGTTGTGCGACCACTCCCATCATGCTCTGTTAGACCACGTGACTATGCACCACGCGACGGTCGCGCGGAACGGACTCGCTCAAAAATGGTGCGATGATACGAGAACTGGTGGTGCTTGTCATCGTCCTGCCACCCATGCGGTTCCAGTAAATACGATAGGCCGAGCCGTAGCGCTCTGCTTACGTCATCAACTATGACAGAAGTACGGAATCGCCACACAACACATGTGCAGCATGGTGGCTTGCGTCATGACAAGCGCAGTGTAATGACTGGGCCTATTGTACTATGGACCGCAGAAGCACGAGACCCGAAATAAAGTTGGATTGATTGGCAGTTAAAGCACTCGCCTTTAAATAAAAATGCAAAGTATTACCCTACTTTATCATTTCCTATGGTACTATATAGTTACAGCGCGATAGCAGTACACAGGATGAGGGAACAGCGGACTAGGAAAAGTACGTGCATACCATTTTCTTTCACGTTGTTGCCATTAGGCCCACAATGTGAAAAAGTTTTCCCAACGGTCTAGCTGATTAATTAGTGGCCAAATGGTCATCGTAAACCGCAATTTTCTCGCAAGATCACCGGCAGGCCCCGCAGCATGCGACCATCACGAGCGGTCTAACAGAGCAATGTGGCTGTACTTAAAAACCATCGTGCTCGTGTCGCACATGAATGTCAGTCAGCATTTTCTTACTGCACGCAGTAGCTTCAGAAACAGCATACCGACAAAGTGTTCGTAATCACACAAGACACCACGTGACACACGCATGCAGAAGGAAACAGTTCAGGTGCTCAGCACAGACTCCGGTGTTTCATTTCTGATCAAGTGTTGGATTAGAACCCCTTTGCAACATAGAAATCATCACAATCAGAAATACTCAGAGCTGCTGTAAATATCTCCCATAGATATCATCTGGGCCTGAGGTTTAGTACCCCTAAAAACTCGTCACTGATGGAACACGTTCAGTCGTAGCCGTGCAGTATGTTACGATATGAATGAAGCAAGGTCATTGTTCATGGAGAAAACCTATCACTACGCGTGTTTCTTCTAGGAACGTGGTTTTTAGTGCTAACACAATCTTAGAACGCTAATACCAGCTTAGCCACGGAAACACGAAACGCACTGACGTTGTAGTTAAAGTGGCTAGTATAAGGTAGCTAGGTCATGCTGTTACATGTAAGAACGTGTAAAAGTAAATACCTTTCCAAGTATTCGCCACAGTTCCGTGCATCGCTCATAGCTTTGTGCATTATGAACAACGAAAAAAAAAAAGCCACTGAACAGAAAGTTTCGGTACAGTTCACTAGATAAGACAAGACTATAGAGCATTAAAAATTTACGTGCTACTGAAACGTAACTGGAAAATACAAAAAAGAGGGGGGAAAAAAAACACCGATGGGGACTTACGAAACATGGCTCGGCACCCAACAAGTGCGTTTTCAAACAAACAGTCCCAGACGAGGCATGCACATGCAGGGAACATACGGGCTCGAGTTGCGAGCGAAGAATCTCAAGTACGTCACAGATTCCGTGCATTTTTTCGTTACGTCTACAAGAACCTCGCTGTGACATTGACGAGAGAATCTGTCAGCCACGAATTACAAGTATGCGAGGCTGCGCGTCGCACGCTTTCAGTTGGGAGGTGCTGACGTGCTCAAGAATGCGGCATGCAGTCGATCGAGCCGGGGAACCACACCAAAATGCACAAAAAAAAAAAAAACAAAAAAACTGACGCATGCTTGTAGGCCAACGCGCATGTCTAAGCTGAAGTACACAATCACACTGTGGTATTAAAGGGAAGCTATGGAGAGGATTATTTGACAAGAGTTTGATTAGTGAAATGAACTTCCGGAGCGAAAGATCTTATGATACCGCCCAAGCAGACCCCGCGTATATAGGCTAAAAACAGTAGCAGGGTCATTGACCGTGACATTGCCCTAGTCACTGCACTGATCTTTATTGCACTTTTCAAGCGAGATTGGGCAAGGGCCCTCATGGTTTGACAGCACTGCCTTTTCGCTGCGTAACCGACTCTTGCAGCAAATACGAAATGTATACGTGTTTGATGCGATTTTGTTATGCGTTTCATTCGTCATACGACAAACGTCGACCAGATGGGACGTGTTTAGGACGTCATTACGGCGTCGCACTGCACGGCCACTACGGTCTTCTCCGCGCTGATTGGATGACAGATAAGTCGTGGTTTTTCCGACAATAGCACAAAAGAGAATACCGTAGGCTCGCTGCTGTGCTGATTTGTTGCTAACATTTTGCCAAAATATTCGCATGCTGTCATATGGATTGTTAAATACGAAGCTTTGTATCACTGTTTGTTGATAAGCGTGAAAATTCTGAAAGCTAACCTTTAACGTCCCATCACGCGGGATGCAAAAGAAGCGCCAACGCCGGGAATCGGCGTTGGCGCTTCCGTCCCAAATACGCGTTCATACGTCCCAAATACGTCCCAAATACGCGTTCATGCGGTCGCCGCTTGTAGTGCAGATCTGAAGTTGGCGAGTCCAAAGCGTCTACGAAAGCGTATTCACCTGGTACACCCTTGGCGAGTCGACTGGGAACGCTGGGAGAGTTCGGCAGCGCTCCCGGTCGCGGCACGAGGCCCGACGTCGGCGTGGTCTGGAACGACGCTTCGTCCGCTTGTCCGTTGGCGGCAAGGCACGACGCCTGCTGCTGGGCGGCGGCCGTCGCGTCCAGCAGGCTGTCGATGCTGGCCGACCGGCGCAGGGGCGTCGAAGGAACGCCCGGAAAACCTGTGGCTCTGTTCGTAAAAGGCGGCACGGGGTGGACAAATCGTTTAAAGGGGGCCGTGACACACAAATCGGTGTTATCTGGATCAATCCTTCAGTGTTAGCGAGTAAGTTGGACAATTTTCTAAGCATTTGGTCAAGTACTCTATTTAGAACAAGTATTTTTATACGCATGCGAGTGACCTCAGTGTCTGGCGACACTGGCGCGTTCTCGAGTTGAGACCGTAAGCCACTTGCTAATCGAGCGTCGGTATTTAGGCGAACGACTGTGTTTCGCGGTCTGCTACGCGTCGTGTGGCCTTGAGAACTTGGCGATTTGCAGTGGTTGGAACTTGGGGAGATGGCGATGGCCCCACTTTATTAAGCACGTGACGTTGCCCACACCATGGCAATGTGACGGTCACCAGCGGCGGGTGGGATTTATGGCAGGCGTCTTCTACAGGGCTAATTTTGCAACGAAATTTTATTTTACAATCGCTTTGTCAGATATCTACTTTACGTTGCACATTCACAATTTTAGTTCCAGTTCTGCAAAGTGTTAGTCACTGTCTCTGCGCTAGGATGCTCGTGCAGTTCCGAGAATGAAGACGGTAAGTTGGACCAGTTGGTTGGGACTCATCGTGAACTTGTTTACAGCGCAACACCAGAAACGCAGTACAGGGAAGGGGCAAAAGAGAAAGAAAAGAGGGCGCTTTTCTTTTCGCCGTCTTTACTTTCTCTTTTGCTCCTTGCCTGTCCCGTGTTTCTGTTGTTGCGCTGTAAACAAGTTCACGGTGAATCCGAGCACGAGGATCCGTCGTTCCAGACATGAGGGTTGACCACTGGTTGACCACTGTGCGGGCAAGCCACAGATAGTTGTGCGGCAGAAATGCTCCACAAACGCTCGATTTGATTTTTTTGTTTGTCTATCTCGGATTGTATACAGGAGTGCCCGGGCTTCTACATTATGGCAGCGCACAGTACGGCGCGAGTCAGTATGCAACACTTACGGGTCGAACACGGACGACGTGGACGACGCGGGTCCCGGAGGCGAGAGGAGCGTGCTGCTGGCCGAGGGTGACCGCTCGCCGGGAGCCTTCTGCATGAGCAGCCGCGCCAGCTTGGCCAGACCGCCGCCAACGCCGCCTTGATCTTGCCTGCACAGACCACGGCAAACCGATTGGTCACACATCGGTGGTCAGTATAACTGCAGCGGCTCGTAAGGAATCATTAGACGTTATCGCAAACGCTCAAGTATAGACTTCCCTTCGCGTGCTCGTCATAACACTGCTGACACCGCGGTCAGCCTAAGAAGCAGAGTAAGTAAAAATGACGGCGGCTTTCTTAATGATGGGACGACGCAACCACGTGACCTGCAATAATCTGTTTCGTTGGGAATAGAGTGCGTGAGGCAAATCAAACGGTGTGTGAATGTCTGGCTAAGAGTTCCGACTTCAAAGAACTGTGCGACATCACCTGCCGGGTTATTTCAGGTACTGCGCTTTTCATTCCATTGCCAAGAAAACCACCGTCGTTTCTTAAACACGCGAGCCAACTGACAAGAGAAATAACCGATTTCTGTAACACATTGATTAGAGACAATACTTCTATTAGCGAACCGTCAGTCACTTCATGAGACGGAACCGGATCATTTGTGCCAATTCTTATTACCTACAATTTTGACGACGCTGCCCTGATATTCGTGTCTTGGGCATGTCACGAGTTCTTGTTCACTACTGCATATAAGTTTGACAATTTTCAATAAAAGAGCAGTTGAGAATCAACGCCGGGTAATTAGTTTCCTTGTTTTCATGTGTTTCTTATGTTGCTCTGTAGCCAGGTTCGAGATTAATCCCAACCAAGTGGTCTTACTGCCGTGTATGACATTCAATAGAGCGTCACACTCACTTTTTGGAGCTTCCTCCATCGCCTCGCGTGCTTCCCTGAGAGGCCGCCGAGCCCGCCGACGAGAGGCTGTGACGCGGAGACGGGCTGGGCGACACTCGAATTCCGTCCTCGTCCTCGACCAGCAACTGGCATCCTGCACAACACCGGTACATGGGTGGCACCGTCACAAACAACGAAGGAAAAAAAACAGTCGTACGCCACCACGGTTCCCAAATCACGAGAAGCACAAACCATCACGACAATGCAACGGGCGAACCCACCGCGAACATCGCCAACTTCTGAAGAAGCTGTATACGGGTTAATGGCTTCACTGCTATCGCATCACGCATGTGGTCGAAACCGAGAACTGATAAAGCCTTCCGTCGAGGAAAGTTGGAATAGCATCCTTGTTCTGTTCAACGTTGTTGCGAAGTTGTATTCTATATCCACATACGCAGGAAATAATTCGCGTGGTCCGCTACGGCGCGGCAGTACGTCACTCGATAGTAGCCACCTTGGCCGCGGCTAGTTCACTCTAGCTGTAGCTAGCCGTGGCGCCGTTCTTGCTTGGCTGTAGTACAAGAAAGAGCAGCTTCGATTGAATGCCCGGCCGCGTTGTATGCAATGGCGCCTCGCGCAGCGTGGGGACGCTGCGCCGCGTTCACCTTGAGAGTGAACGACAATTGTTATCAAGCAAGGACCCCACATTGACTCGGACGAGAGACATGATGGCAGCAAGGTTCCTTAACTATTTTTGGCTTCAGCATAAAAACTCCCAAGCATTTCTCCGAGGGTGAACATGGTTAAGTGCGAATGCACGGGGTGATGCTATGAGAGGGAGTAAAGTTAAAATCCGTAGGCGACGCTGATATCGGTGTCAGTAACGCGCCTTATATCCAGATGGTAGCATTGCCTCCGGGACATCCATCGCACGACCCGCTCTCGACGGGAGACAGAGAGAAGGCGGGCGCGCGAGAGAGAGGGGTGCGCGCGCAGTTGCAGCGAGCGAGGAGAGCGGAGGAGCGAGCGAAGGGGGAGGGGGACTATCAGCGTCGCGTCCGTGGCTTATTCGGTAGAGCGTCGCGCTGCGGCCCGCCAAGTCCTCTTTCTTTTAAAGATAGAGAGAAGACTGCGGACGCCGCCGACGGCGGTGGATGGTTTGGGGTCGCTTTAAAGTGTATTCACACTTAAAAGCCGTCGTTGCAGTCTGTCCGCAGAACGCACACCCCCTGCGTAAGACGCGTGCTCGAAGAACGTGAGACGATTTGCTTGCGCAAAATGCAAATCGCGTGCCGCGTACGTCTCTATATTCTCCCTGCCTTGCCCGTGACCATTTTCTTGCTCAAAGGGAACGCACGGGGCAGGCGAGTCGGCGAAAAATAAGCCGACATTGCGAAGCGCTCGGATAATGGTCGACGCTCGTGCACTTCTTTCGACGAATGTATTTGAAGAGCAAGAGAGCGCGCGACTCTCATCCAGGAACTTGGATATTGCAGCACCTACGTGCGCGTAGCATGTACCTCGCACGTTTTAGGCGCAACCCGTTTATACCGAGTACTGTCGAAATGGGAAAACACTGCGGCATTCACGTATTCCAGCATTAAACAATGCCTAAGTACAAGAATTAAGAAGAAAAAAAAGAACGAACAGAAGATATCACCGTTAAAAAAAGATATGTTCAAAAAGGCACGTGTTTCTTAACCCTTTCAGACGCCATTTATTAAGAAATGTCTGTAAATGTGTCCGATCACTACAACGTTACTTCACGGCGCTCAATATTCTATTGCAACAGAAAATAACGATATAATTGTTCAATCTACGTGTGTCATAGTAACTCGTTCTAGTTAAGTTGCAAATAAATACCTCTTCATCCTGAAGTGATTGATGCTTACTTTTGGCATAAATAGAATCTAATCTCAGGCTAGAAATACAGAGCAAATTCATTTTTTGTTATGTAAATAGTGAGCAAGGAAAATGTTTGCTTCTCACATTGCGTGCAGGAAGCTGTACATCGCACGACTCGTCAAACGTGATAGTACCTCGAGAAAAGTGATCATATGTATCAGTACATTGCAAAATGACGTTAAATGAAGACAAAATAATCATGCAGGAGGCTAAATTCATCTATTGTACGCTATATCTCGCTCTTTCCTAGCCTCCACTTGATGCAAATAACGAAAACGAGTGGTGTACACAAATGTGTACATAGCGTCTGAAAGGGTTAATTTATAAGCTTTATACAAGAGCTGCCATTCAGCGATACTCTTTCGCAGAATGGTTTTCCTTACAACGATGAGCCCTCCCAAAAACGAATGCGTCTGCTATTTGCTATTGATTAGTTCTTGCTCTTTTTGTTTTTTTTTTACTTCTGCGCAGGAACGCCAGCGTTCGTGCACAACGCCCACATTTTTTTCTTTGAATTTCCTGAAGAGATAAATTCTAGTAGCAGACAAGCGTACAAATGGATTGCCGAATTCTGTCTGGTCATTCACGACACATGCATATATCTGTTTGGAGTGAAAACAGATATATAGAAAAGCCTTGGGCTTCGGAATGCCGGGAGCCGTGCACTACATTTTGTGCTTATCAAAAAAAAAAAAAAGATTGAAAAGAAAGAACATGCGATCGGGCTCTTACAAAAGTAGGTCATTTCTGTCAGATTTCCGCAAGCGAAGCAAGGAATAAATCGCTATATTAACGGTAAAATTGCCATGATTCCTAAACACATTGCGCACCTGTCCATAGTGATGGATAAACCTCGAATGAAACGTTTGTTGGAAACAGGCGAAAATAACAATATTGACCCCAGGAACGAAACAATAGGATTGATTACGGCAGGGCTGAGGAAGACGGGACAGTACGCAAGTAAATAGTCAAGTATATATATATATATATATATATATATATATATATATATATATAAGGTATGGGATATGGCACAACGGGAGCGTTGTCAACAAGGATAAATATATTTATTTCCCAACAGTTTCGGGAGGGGTCCTCCCTTCATCAGGGGATGAGTGGATGAGATCAGGGGATGAGGGATAACTCATCCCCTGATGAAGGGAGGACCCCTCCCGAAACTGTTGGGAAATAATTATATTTATCCTTGTTGACAACGCTCCCGTTGTGCCATATCCCATACCTTCACGAAGACTAACTGGCCCATTGAATTATTACTCCCACTATATATATATATATATATATATATATATATATATATATATATATATATATATATATATATATATATATATATATATATATATATATAGTGATTAACGTACCTTGACATCACGCTGGCCTTTACCATTTCCACTCTTTCGAAATGCGACCGCCATGACCGGGATCGAACTCACGACCTTCCGGTCAGCAGTGGAACACCATACATCTTCGCGACAGACTAAACATTCAAGTCCAAATGAACATCCATTACAACTAAAAGAGATGTGGTGAAGGTTCGTTATACGAGTGTAACAGACACTGATTTGCGTTGTCTGTAGTAAAGCCATTAAACAAAAAAGAAATAAACAAAACTAATACGTTAATAGCGCGCTGGCTTCATGGGTGAAGTTTTCACTGTCGAGCACAATTCTATGACTGATAGACAGATATATATGTGGGGTTTAACGTCCCGAAACAACCATATGATTATGAGAGACGCCGTAGCGGAGGGCTCCGGAAATTTAGACCACCTGGGGTTCTTTAACGTGCACCCAATCTGAGCACACTGGCCTACGACATTTCCACCTCCATCGGAAATGCAGCCGCCGCAGCCGATATTCAATCCCGCGACCTGCGGGTCAGCAGCCGAGTACCTTAGCCACTAGACCACCGCGCCGGGGCTACAGTACCACTGTCCTAAGAAAAAACGAAACAATCAGACGCAACGTCTACGAAGGGGGGGGGGGGGGGGAAGGGTACTTCAAAATTTTTTCTGTAGTCTTTGTATGTTAAGATGGCTATAGAATCGAAAAGGTAACGTCGAATATTTTAGATAAGGCTGCCTTAGAAGAATACTATAAATGTGAGATATCGTTAACAGTAGATTTCTGTAAACACACATTGAATACGGCATGTGCCACTGCCACTATCGCCGTCGCGTTTGGAAAACAGTGTGTTACAAAAAGGTTCGATTTGAATAACTCGTACGACAGCGAGGTTCTATATTACGCAAGGCGTTCATTTACATTAATCACAACTGAGTTGGAGAGCCGGCAATCTATGGTTGTTCCTTGTACTAAAGGTCTTCGTCACCGCTGCTTCGGCCGCAGTCTCCCCGCACCTGCGACTCTCTCCGCCTTTCCGCGCGCCGTCCGGTCTGGCAAGGGGCACTGGGGCAGTCCGGTCCTGTCAATCGTCCCAATCTACCAACCTTTTCCGCGGCAAGACAAGTGTCAACTCAGGCACCCCACGACGGTTCGAGAAAACGGAAAGGTCTTCAACATAGTGTAGCTGGATCGGATAGCCGTTGAACGTAATACGAAGCTATATTGAATTGAATTCCGCCATACGAACGAAGAACTGAATTCCGTAATCCACAAGGAACAGATCTTTTTTTTTTAAAAAGAAATCACGAAGATGGCGTGATTAATGTCACGTCTTAGGCTGCCAAGGAGGAGATGGACGCAGTTTCGGTGGCGTAACGGAAAAGAAACAAAAGGTACACGTGACGCAGCCGAAGCAGAAGTGACGTGCACGGATTATATTTCTAATCTTGGTCCAACGATCTCTGGAAAGCAAACAGAGCATCCGGTTTCTGGACGTGGTCCAAAGGCGATGCCGCGAGCTATACCCGTGTGAAAGTGAGTGAGAACGCCTTGGTTCAGTATATATGCGCGCGTGCGTTTGTGTTCGCGCGCGTGTATAACGCAATCACACGTGCGCGCACGCACACACAGATGCTCGCATACACGCACGCACGCACGCGGACTATCGCACGTCCCTCTGTATAGGCACGCGTTTCGCAACGCAGTTTCGATAGGCCCCAACCACGCCATTATGCATTAGTTCCAGGCGCCCACCACGTTCTTCGATTCGAAACGTCGTGCTGCCGCCGTGCATTATATAGCGAGCTCTCAAGGTGAGAAGCGATGGCGCTTGTTTAGAAAAGGTGTGCGGAATTATTACTCAAGCGTAAAAAGGCAGTCCGTG